AGCTTGTTGCCTAGCTCTGCCTACCATCTTACTACAGCCATGATAGGAGTCCTGAGGTGTTTGCCTTCAGCTCTTATATGTGTTCTTGGGACCCAAAGAGAGGTCCACATGCTCCTTATCACTGGGAAAGCATCACATCATCTCCTCTGAACTCTCCATACCATTGTTTGACTGTACAGGATATCCTGGACCATTTGATTTTTCCCAGAATGATCAGCAACAATGTAATATACCTCGAGAGACTCCTGAGTACTGGGGTTACATGCTCACAACATTCCATGCCACTTTTCCTCCTATGGCTACTTGATCTAACCAGGGGCCTTTGTGGTTAATCCCCTCTCTAAGTGGAATATGGGAAAATATGTGCAACATCCATCCAAGGATGCTTCAGGTCCCACCAGGGTCTCTAGTCTTTAACATTCTACACCCTACACCTTCACCTACTGCCGTGCTGGTGTCTCAGACAGGGGCTACAGAAGATAAGCCATGATTCTAACTCACCTCAAGCAATAGGTGGAATAACTTCAGAGGCTTTGGAGAATTCTCCAGCAGGGGAGCACCAATGGGTGTGGGGCAGGGCCAGAAGTGGACTTGACCCAGAGGGTCAGTGGTCCTGGGACCTGTCTTCGTAGGTCCCTACTGGCCAGGCACACTGGTGAGTGTCCTAAGAGCAAAGATGAGGGACTGTCATTAAGAGAGTAAATTAGGGCTGGTTGAGGGGTTCAGTGGACACAGGCTATTGCTGCCAGTCCAAGGACTGGAGTGAACTATCCAGATCCTCAGGACCACATGGGAGGAGAGAAATGACACCCACAAGTTGTCCTCAGACCCATGCCCGTGTGTGATGGTATACCGTAGCTGGGTGTACAAGTCACACAATCCATGTGATACAGATACGTTTAATAAAGTTATGTATATGGTTAATAGGGAATAAATTCAGTTGGCTGAGTGCCAGTCTCGCATGCAGGAAGCCATCGGTTCCCTCATCACCCCTGAAAGCCACGTGATAACTCAGGCCAGTGATCCTGGCTCTCCCAAGGCTGGAGGCAGCTGACAGAGCAGTTGAAAGTCCTCCTTGGTGAGACAGTGAGTCCCTACAGTGAGCCATCTGACATGTTTTTGTAAAACCATGAAGTGCCATCAGAGGCTCTCCTTCAGAATGTCCACTTACTCTGCTTCATGTCACTGTTTGCACTTCCCTCTGTGTCTCCTGTAGACTGGACACACACACACTGGCCTGTGAGCAGGCTCAACATGTCTCTTGCAAGTATTTGGAGGGAACCAGGCATCACAGGATGTGGTCCCAGCCTTCCACCTTTTTGAAACAATGCCTTTTCTCCATTGTGCTCCCGAAGCCTGCTGCCCTATGAATTTCTGAACTCTTTGTATCAGCTCTTGCTCCCAATGGCCACAGAAATCCCTTGAGTATGACCTATGCTACTCCCTCAATTTTGCCTGTATTGTTGGGCCTCAAACTCACATCCTCTGCTGGCTGGCAAGGTCTTACCCAATAAGCCATCTCCTCAGCACTCCTCCTCCACCACTGCCAAGGGTCCAGGCCAGCCTGGGACATCTTATGTTTCCCAGGCTCATCTCTAAACATTAAATCTCAGTGAGCCTCCTGAGTGGTGGCATCTCAGGCCACCACCCCCTTAAGCACATAATCTTTGGCCCTCATCCTTGACTTCCACTCCTCTTGGTCCATCCAAGACTTCTCCCCTTGCCTAGCACAGGAAGTACTCATTCTATGACTGGGGTCTGTGATTGTAGACCCATATTCCTTCCAAGTCTTCTCCGGTCCCCTCCCAGGAATGTAAGGTCTCTAACATCCACCTCAGGCATCTACAACTGCAGACCCCTAGAGCTGTCTAGGCATGAGTCGGAGGTGGGGGCCATGGTGCAGATGATAATTCAAGTATCCCACTCACCTCAAGAAATAGGGGGATAGCTTCAGAGACTTGTGAAGTCTCCTCCTCCTGCAAATGAGCTCCAATGGTCGGGGTCCGGTAATGGACTTGACCCAGAGGGTCAGAGGTCCTAGGACCTGTTGGCCTAGGTCCTTACTGGCCGGGCGTACCAATGAGCCTCCTAGGAGAAAGATGCAGGATTGTCATCAGAAAGTATATCCTGGAGAGCCCACTAGCTGATTGGACAAAGAGTGAATCTTTGTTCTCATAGCCAAACATACCAGCCTCTAGGCTTTGTGCCCAGGTACACAATCCCGCACCCCCACACCATCACCCATTGCAGTCCCAGTTTCAGGCCAGCAGACACATCTCCTGCAGACAGGTTGGAATACCAGCATCTCCCACCAACCTGTAACCTACAAGCTCCACTCCTCCCAAAGCCACCCACGCTCTGAGACTGCAGCTGCTCCCTGGGACAGACCACCACACTAAGAGCTGCTCCCAGAAACATAAAGTCCATCAGCACCAATTGGAAAAAGATCCCCAATAAAACCAAGAGCTCCCATTGGACCAAGAGTATTGATCAGACCAAGGGAGGCTCCCTCAGACACATAAACCACTACCACTGAGTGGAGAAAGAGATGAGCAGATGCCAGTGCAAAAATACAGTCAACAACATAAAGATCAATATGGCACCATTAAAAACTAGTGGTCTACATCAGCAAGACCTGAACATCCCAACACAGAAGAAGCAGAAGATATTGAACTTAAATAAGAAGATGATAGCAGCCTTTAGGGACAAAATGAAAAATTCCCTTAAAGAATTCGAGGAAAAGACAAATAATAAATTGGAAGAAATCAATGAATCCCTTAAAGAAACCCAAGAAAAAAACAAAGAGGCAAAGGAAACAGTTCAAAATTTGAAAAGTGAAATAGAGACAATAAAGAAGATGCAAATTCAGAGAATGCTGGAAGTGAAAAATCTGAGTAAATGAACAGGAACGACAGGTTTAGGCATAACCAACAGAATGTAAGAGAGGAAGAGAGAATCTCTGGTGGTAAAGATATGGTAGAGGAAATAGATTTGTCAGTTAAAGAAAACATTAAAGCCAACAAGGTCATAACACAAAACATCCAGGAAATTTGGGAAACCATTAAAAGACCAAATCTAATAAAAATAGGGATAGATGAAGGAGAAGAATACCAACTCAAAGGCACAGAAAATATATTCAACAAAACCACAGTAGAAAACTTTACCAACCTAAAGAAGGAAATGCCTATGAAGATACAAGAAGCTTACAGAACACCAAATAGACTGGATCAAAAAAAGTCCCCTTGCCATAATAACAAACTATTAAACTTATGAAGAAAAAATGTTAAGAGCTGTAAAGGAAAAAGGCTAAGTAACATATGAAGACAGACGCATCAGAATAGAACCTGTTCTCAAAAAAGATTCTGAAAGCCAGAAGGTTCAGGACAGATGTTATGCAGACACTAAGAGACCATGGATGCCAACCCAAACTATTATACCCAGCAAAACTCTCAATCACCATGGACAGAGTAAACAAAATATTCCATGATAAAACTAGATTAAAACAATACCTATCCACAAATCAAGCCCTAAAAAAGCACTAGAAGGAAAAATCCAACCTAAGGAAGTTAAATACACCCATAAAAACACAGGCAATAGATAACCCCACACCATCAAATACAAAGAAGGGAAACACACAACACTACCACCAAAAGATAACAGGAAATAACAATATTAGACATTAATATCCCTTAATATCAATGGTCTCAATTTGCCTATCAAAAG